AGTTAGGTAAGTATCTTATAAAACTATTGCTTGTTATTTGATAAATTAATATTTTTATTACATATACAAAAAAGATTTGTATTACTTGTGCAAACATATTTCCTAATCATAATTTACTGCTGGGTCTTACTCTGCCCTCCTCTCTGTAGTGTTCAAGAGAGGAAAGAAATAACATTGTTGATCTAAATCCAAATGTTGTTTTATTAAAAACTATTGGCTTTAGATCAACAAATTCTCAATGAAGTGTTTTTTGCCTGAGGTTTGTGAGATGTTGCCTACTTTATGAACATTTGTTTAAATCCACATAGTATTTAATGTACATTAAAAGGGCAAAACCTGGGTATTAAGCAGCCTATTTAGCCAAACACGCAACGGAGGGTTCTTGTTTGTTGTGTCCTTTGACAATGGCATTTTTTTATTCACGTATTCTGTTTGGAGAGAAGGTCAAATCACGTTGTTTGCATTAAGGATCTATGACCATAATGAAAATATGTGTAATTTAAAGGCCATGACCCTGAAGAGCCCTCGTGCTTCATGCGACCCTGGGTTCACTTGTGCACAGAAAGGGCCTGACTCGTGGTTGCCTCATCCCAAATGCAGCTCTCAGTTTCTTAATTCCATAAACATATTATCGAGTTCAAAAAGTCCTCAGGAATAAGACAGACCAGGCTGGGACAGGGAAGAACAAAAATCCTTTCCAAGACTGCAACTCTTTCATTTCTCATTATATGAATTTTTCGATAGATGCCCAATATATCTTGTAATGGATAATATTTTTATTCCTTTTTACTGTGGTAACATATAAAGACCCTCAATGCAAGCTAAGGGCTCCCAAATCCTATGTACCATGAATACATAGTTTATAGGACATTAGATTCATTAAAGACCTTGCAGTTTATTCTTTCCATTCTTCATATATTGACATAATTTGCATCATTGTTGGTAGGCCCAATGTAGAGTCTAAAGATTGAAAATAAAGAATTTACATCTATACCCACCTTGGAAGAATTAATAGAGCAAACATATGAAATAAAGAGTAGAATTATTATAGATTTTTTTGTTCTGAAGCAGTTAGGAGAGGCAGCCCATGGAAGGAGGAGAGCAAACATGGCTTGGATGGCCCTTGAAATACCTAAATGCAGCTGGGGAGTAGAAGAAGAGTTAGGAAAAAAAGTATTTTTGAGCAGTGTTAGGCTAGATTGGAATTTGTTTGCACAAAGTAGATAGCAAACAGTATGAAGTGGCAAACAAATTTATCTCGTTTGTGTCCAAAAAATCCCTAAATTCACTAAATAAATGGTGAGTTATAAGTTGTTTGTCTGCCCTCTCTGACACTCCCTTGGCTTGAGGGAAGGAATTGCTAAAATAGTTGTAGTGTTTCAGTCTTCCAGCTGTTATTGGCGACTTTTATAAAAGCAAGAGAACTGGAACAGGGGAGTAAAATGGTGATTCTGCTCTTGAGACTTTTTCCTGCATTCTGAACCTCCCCTCCCTCCAAAAAAACAAAAGAAAAACACCCTGTTCTATAGCAAATCCATGGAGAACGGTAAATTTATTGAGGACAGTTTGCAGAACCCAAAATGGAACGAGGAGTGAATCCAGATTTTCAGATGCTCCAAGGCTCTTCCACACAAAGTAATTCTGTGAGGGTTTTGTTGGGCAAATTCTCTTTTCTGTGACTGCCTCATGAGTGAAGGGCCCTAAAGCTACAAAAACACAAGCGCCTGCCAAAGCGGATGCAGCTGGAGCTCGGAGCTCGCCCGGCCTCCTGCAGGACTTGAGGTATTGCCCCAAATCCAGAGTTTCCAAGTGGGACTTGAGGTATTGCCCCAAATGCAGAGTTTCCAAGCGGGATTTGAGGTATTCCCCCAAATCCAGAGTTTCCAAGTGGGACTTGAGGCATTCCCCCAAATCCAGAGTTTCCAGGCAGGACTTGAGGTATTGCCCCAAATCCAGAGTTTCCAAGCAGGACTTGAGGGATTCCCCCAAATCCAGAGTTTCCAAGCAGGACTTGAGGCATTCCCCCAAATCCAGAGTTTCCAAGCAGGACTTGAGGTATTCCCCCAAATCCAGAGTTTCCAAGCGGAACTTGAGGTATTGCCCCAAATCCGGACTTTTGAAGCAGGGCTTGAGGTATTCCCCCAAATCCAGAGTTTCCAGGCAGGACTTGAGGTATTGCCCCAAATCCAGGGTTTCCAGGCAGGACTTGAGGGATTGCCCCAAATCCAGAGTTTTGAAGCAGAACTAGAGGTATTGCCCCAAATCCAGCGTTTCCAGGCAGGACTTGAGGTATTGCCTCAAATCCAGAGTTTCCAAGCAAAACTTCCCCCTTTGCTGCTCGGCACGTGCGTTTTCTCTGCGTAAGGGCAGTTCCTTGGGCACAGGGCTCAGCGGATGGGCAGGAAAGCCCAGGGGTGGCAGCTCCACAGGGCGCCCGGGCCCAGCTCCAGAGCTGCCTCCGCTGCTTCCCGGGAAGCCAGCGCGGAATTCCTGTCCGTGCCCTCCCACGCGGATCCTCCCCTTGGCCCCTCCGGCCTTGCCCGCCCTCCCGCGCTCCTATTCCCGTCCGGGCAGCGCTCCCGCTTGGCGCAGTCCGGGCAGCTCCGCTTCCTCGCGAGTCTCGGATCCGGCATGGGTAAGCGATCCTGCGAGCCAATCCAGGCCGGATCCGCCGGGATCCCGCTCGGCTTGCTCTGGTTCTGCGCTTCAAAACATCCCGGGGACGGCACATCGGAATTCAGTGGGTTCGTTACCGCAGCAGACTGGGAATATGGGGCTGAAACTCCGCGTTTCCTCCCCTTGTTATCAGTTTGCTTTCTTTAAACAATTCTAAACCAGCGTGGCTTTAAATAAATAACTCTACTGCTTTCAAAAATAGTTTAACCTTGGCGTTAATTATCTCTTTTGTAGCTCTGCATTTAGAAACTGAGAGAAACACATGGACTCGCTGTTCTAATCAGCTGTGAGGGTGAAAGGCACTTGCAAGACTGGCAGGGAATGGGGAGCATAATTTAACTTTTTGCTTATGTTTTTATGACTGTATATTTTTTATAAATGTAATTTTGGGGTAGATAGAAAGGAGGTGGAGGGGATAAAACACAAGTTTTTTGCATGTGAATGTATTCATATATGATTTGCAAGGCAGACACTGCTACGTTGTGTTTTCCCAACATAGGATAAAATTACTTGAAAAATACCTTAGTGTAAAGACCCTAATTGCAAAGCCAAAACAAACAAACGAAAAATGAGACTGACTCAGCAAAAGTGACTGCTCTGATATATCTGCCCAAGATGAATGATTACCTTTCTGAACTTTTGTAAGGACTAATTGCACAAAATGAACTATTTTGCTCTATTTTTTTTAGCAGTTTCAAGGTATAACCTGTGAAGGGGACGGTTTTGTTTAAGCAGTCATGGTAGTCTGTAAGAAAGAACTAGGGTGAGCATAAGAAAAAGTAAAATACTGAACCTTAAAGCCAAATTAGGGGGCTTCAGTGGCTGCAGGGCTTGGAAAGGGGTGCAGTGCTCTTGGCCATGTAGAAGATGAATTTGTGGTCAGGAACTCTTAAAAATGTGACGGAAACGTTTAAGTCTGCTTATATTACTTGGAAAATTTGTTACATTTGCTTTCTAGCAAGATGTTTTTTGGTTCTGTTCTCCTCTAAGGCGCATGACCCTTGCCTGTGTTATTAGCTTTAATTTCCTATGAAACGTTATGTTATCAGGCAGGATAATTTCACAGTGCTGTTACCTGTTGTTGTAAGGCTGTAAGGCTCTTTATGTAGCCTGCTAGAAACTCAGATTAAACCACCCTCTGCCTCATTCTGCAGTTGGAAAAATACGGAGCAAAAGGGAAGCCTGCCCAGATTCCTCATTTCCCATTGCTCTCCACAAATGAGACTTGCTATAGGCAACAGTAATTAAAAGAATAGGGCGATTTTACCAGCTTTTAGGGGGTGAATGCGTGAAAAACAGCTGAGTAAGACCCAAGAGGAGTGAGGGTTAAATGACCTGGCACAAGAAGGAGAATTGGACATTGGAGCTGTTGAAGTTGAGTGCTTGGTTAGTGCTAAACTTCCCTGCGAGCACTTGCAGTGGAACAAGGTTCTCTGCTTCTTTTTGCAAGTGTGAGAAGGGCAGGATAGAGTGTCCCACTTCCTCATATTCCAAATATTTGGCCAGATTTATGGAGGATCTGGAACATAATGAATAGTGTTCACATGTTTGGGCATGAATTATTAACATAGCAATGTAAATATTATTGCCACACGTTGCTGCAACATGCTACAAGTCATTTTCATGACAAAGCCCTTATTTTAGGTTCACAAATGAGCTTGGCATTGTGTAACAGGGAAAGATTTGCATCATCTACGGATATCTTAAGGCAATTAGATGCAATGGTTTGGAATAAAAGAGCGTTTGAACAAGATCAGATAAAAGGAGCAGAAAACAATGTATTTGAGGAGGAGGAAATGCTCATCATCTTGCTGTATATTTTTTTTTCTTGGAAAGAATTTGGTACAAATAATCTTTTTCTCAGAATAATCTGCACAACACTGAATTTGCAATGCTAATTTAGTTGCATAGTGAGCTCCTACTGATTGAGGTGGTTTTTTAATTCTAGCCAGTAGTTTATTAATATAAACACGAGTGTATACATTCCCTTGACTCTGTTAGAGTAGAAATTGCTGCATATGAGGCTGTTTTAGCCTTTTTATGTAGCTATTGATCAGGATCCAAACCAGTAGAAAGAGAACCAAAACTCTTCAGCAGTAAACTGAAACAATTATCAAACACTGCCAGGTAGCAGTTCTGGAATTCCAGTTTCTGGAATTCCACTGTCTGGAATTCAGTGAGACTTGTAGGGTTTGGCAGAGTAAAGCTGGATTTGAGATTTCTCAATCTATGAATGTAAGGCCAATGTCCCATTAAGCCAAATATTTTCAAATAACTTGGTGGTTAAGTCTTTCTCTCTATTTTTTTTTTCTTCTCAAATCAGCAAAATGTGGAGCCTGTGGTCCAGGATATGCAAGTCCTTTGCAAGCCATGAAAGGCAAGTACTGTAACATATTTTCTAAAGTTCCCTGCATAACATATATAAAATGCCATATATATAAAAACATATATAACATATACACATAACATATATAAAAAAAGTTGCAGTCTGTTCATCCTGGATGTGTTGCATTGCTGGGCTAAATCTGGAGCCTCCCCAAAGCCACTGAAACAGTTTGCTCAAGTTTTCAGTAGTGTCAAGAAAGTCGTTGTGAGTCTTAATATATTTTTTAAAATCTCAATTTTGGGAAATTGCAACGAGGGGAATGTTGGCGTAGACAGAACCAAACTTGGACCCTGGAAGTAGGGAATACTCCTTGTCATTTCTGCATAAAATAGAAACACTGGGGTCTGGCTTCCTAGTTAGGAAGACCCCCAGTTTACAGCCAGAGAAGGTAAATCCTGGGACATTCCTATCAGCTTTATCACAGCTTGTTGTGCAGACCATGTTGTTTGGCTCATTGGACCTTCCTGCCTTGAAAGGTCCCCGGGAGGAGATCCTGTACCTGCCTTGCATCTACAGGAACACGGGCGTGGAGAAGCCTGACTACCTGGCCACGGTGGACGTGGACCCCACGTCTCCACATTACTGCCAGGTACCTGTGTGCTGAGCACCTCTGCTGCTCCGTGTCCTGGGGCAGTGAATATTTGAGGTTGAATTCTCAAATTTTACTTCTTGCCACCTATCTGTGACCTTTCCAGTCATGAACTTTGGATCCCAGCTAATGTTTCCTTTTCTGCTCTTTGCTTCTTTTTTTTTTTTTTCACTTTCAGATAGAATTTTCAGTGTTGAGTATCAGTCAAATCCTGTGCTGTTTTTCTTGGCTACTAAAAGCCAATATTTCTCTTGTTAGTCTCAAGACACTTTCAGAGCATTTTTATGCTTAGTGTTTTAATAGTTCTCTTGATGATTTCTACAAAGCAGCAGTATTAGCTCTAGAAGGTTGTATTTCCTCAGGATGTGTCAGTAATTTAGACAGAGTTCATAATGAAGGAGCACTGATACCCCAGGCACTTCTTTATTAGGCAGGATGGAACTAAGCAAATCAATTTACATTATAACTGTAAAGGTACATGTAGCTACCTATAGTACCAGGTCCCAGTTATTGGGAAGACCCTTTCTTTAAAATGCCTTTAAGTGCTTCATCAACTCAAATAACTGAAGATATTTTGGATGCTGAAAGATAATAGTTGAAGATATTTTTGATTTTTAGGAGCAGCAAAACAAAGACTTTCACAATTTGTTCTAGCTACTGTTTAAGTTTTTACTTGAGGAAACAAATTTCTTCAGACTTTTATAAAACTTAGCTGTGACCTTTCCTTTTCCTGTGTTATCCACAAGTAGAGATACGAAGCAAATTAACATGTCAGTTTGCTCTGGTCAGTCCTATGTGTAATCAGAGACTTGTAGCACATTGACAAATTGATTTTTTCTCTGTATCATCGCTCCACATCTCCTTAGTTAGATGGAGTCTTTTAAATATTTAGATGAATTTAATGCCATTTAATGCCATGAAGCATGCCATTCTTTATGCAATCATGATGTCTTGGATTCCGTAGGTGATCCACCGCCTGCCCATGCCCAACCTGAAGGACGAGCTCCATCACTCGGGCTGGAACGCCTGCAGCAGCTGCTTCGGGGACGCCACCAAGAGGAGGAATCGCCTCATTCTGCCCAGCCTCATCTCCTCCCGCATTTACGTGGTGGATGTGGGCACAGTCCCGCGAGCGCCCACCATCCATAAGGTCTAAATGGCTTTTAACATGTCCTTTTATGTTTTGATTTTCTCAGCAAATCCTACCTGACACACTCAACAAATTCAACTGAACATTTATGAACCTTTTTTTTTTTTCCCAGAGATATTAATGAGTTCAAATTTGATTGGATTTTCAGTGAGCAAAACAAGATCTTTTCCGTAAAGGACAGTGCCTCCATGATTTGTAATCCCTAGTTCCTAAACTTGGTGTATCTAGATCTTTGTTAAATAAAAGTGTAATAAAATAGCTTAATATGTGGAAATTAATATTTTTTGTTATATCTTGTTCTTGGAAATAACAGAAATTTTCCAAAAAATAGAACTATCACTGCAGTAATTCATTTATAAATTAATAGCTTATAAATTTATAAATTAATTCATAAACTTAGCTCTTACAAAGTTTTACACTTTGTACATATCTAATTTAGTCTACTGATTAAAAAGGTCTTTGAAAACTGGTCAAAATGTGCAATGTAAGGCAATTTCAGGAGGTCTTCTCACCCTAACAGCCTTACTGCTCATTCCCCATCCTTGAAGCTTGAACCCTCAGGCAGGGGGAAGCGACAGTCTGAACTACCATGAGCCAAGGTGTGACTGTGCGGGTGTTCGTTGCAGGTTGTGGAGCCGGTGGAGCTGTTCTGGAAGGGCAATGTGGCTCATCCCCACACCTCCCACTGTCTGGGCAGTGGTGAGATTGTCATCAGCTGCTTGGGAGACCCTTCTGGCAATGGAAAAGGTTGGAATCCCCTTCACGAGTCAAGTATCCACGGTGTCAGGCTCCCAAGGCATAGGTTGCAAAGCTAGAAACACTGTTAAGATCTCATGGTTCTTAAGAGCAGCTCTAGTGTTCACAGCATGATCAAGAAACTCATGGACACTTCACTTGAACCCCTTCCACAAACGGCTTGTGAACGTGGTCTGCATTGGCTCATTGCTTTTGATTTGGGCAAGAAAGAATCTGCTACCAACCTAAAGCCTCTTCTGTCTAATGCAGATGGCAATTCCTATTTAAAAATTGCATATAAAGTTCATTTTCTGATTAGGTGTAAAACACATAACATCCAATAAAGAGAAATGTTAGCTATTAGGGGGGAGATACTTTAGATGATTAAGTGGTGAACCCTGCTCCTTTTCAGAGGGTTTTTTCTTCTTACCATGAGCAGATATGTCCTTGAATAGGATGTGCATAATGTGCTTGATCAAGGATAGCAGTTGCAACAAGGAAAAATTGAGGTGAATTCTCCAGGATCTTCTCTAAGACATCCCTCAGTTGGAATGTGCTCTACGAGAGTCGGAGGATCTACTGAAATGAGTCAAGCAGAAGTAGAGCAAGGCTAGAAAATTCATAAAAGGGTGGTCATGTTCATGGAACTCCCTTTATAAATCCTTCTTTTATTTTGTTTAGTCCACCAAAGCAATACTGAGGGAATCCCAACATTTCCTTGAAGCACTGGATAGTAATTTACAGAATGTTTAGGAAATAGATGTTTTACTATTAAGATATTACTTACCTTGCTTGAAGCTGAAAATCAATGTGCACATCTGTGTTTTAATATCAGGTGGCTTTATTCTGCTGGATGGAGAGACCTTTGAAGTGAAGGGAAATTGGGAGAAAGGGGAAAAAATACCCTCGCTGGGTTATGACTTCTGGTATCAGCCACGGCATAATGTCCTCATGAGCACCGAGTGGGGAACACCAAAAGTACTTGCAGGAGGGTTTGACCCAGCTGATTTAGAGAAAGGTGAGGAAGTGCTTGTTCAAACGTCAAAAGTGGATTGTTCTCTGAAATTAAAATAATCTCTCTTTGCTTATTTTTTGTTGGATCTGATCCATTAGGTCATTACGGCCGCCACATTAATGTGTGGGACTGGAACTCTCATAAGTGGATTCAGTCAATTGACGTAGGGAAGAACTCTGTGCCTCTGGAAATCCGATTCCTCCACGATCCAGCTGCTTCAGAAGGGTTTGTGGGATGTGCTATGAGTGGTGCTGTGCATCGTTTCTACAAAACTGAGGTAAACAGTGAAAGCCATGACAGAAAAGAAAGTCCCAAATCCACCGATCCCCTAGAAAATCACAGGATTCCAGTTAAACTCAGCTGCCCTCTACAATAACTTTGGAACCTGTTGACCAATTTAATCAAAACTGGTGAATAACAGTTGAAAAATAAGTCTCAAAGAGTGGAAGTCCTTGCCAAGATAGGAACATTGGTGGTGGGTAAACGTGAGGCTTCCTCGTAAGTCCTCGCATGGAGGAAATGGCCACAGCATTAGCCCAAGATCTTTCTTTCTAGCTTGTAAACTGGGCAAAAATGGGTGGATTGGACAGATAATCAGAACATACCGTAGGCCTCATTAGCAGGGAGGTCCTTAAAGTGGAAAAGGGAGGAGAAGATGGTGGAATCGTGGAGAAGGGAATGGGGTTACTGCAGTTTTAGAGCGTGGAAGAAAAATTGGGCACGTTTATAGGAGAGTTGTTCTTCAGTTCTGCTGCAATGCGAGGTGTTGTTTGACAGTGTAATCGTTAACACAGCTCATTCTGGCCATACACCTGCCACCCTCACTCCTTGTCAACACTTAATTGCATAAGGGCCACTTAAGTGCAGGGCCACTTAATAATGGTATTTGCATAATGGTATTTGCTTCTTCGACTTCTGTCACGCAAAATTGCGGCGTCTCGGCCAACATCAAGGCAGTAATTGTGCTGTGTTCTCCCCTGTGCCTCCTGCAGAAAGGAGACTGGGCAGCAGAGAAGGTGATTGAAGTACCCAGCAAGAAGGTGAAGGGATGGTTTCTCCCTGATATGCCCGGTCAGTGTGAGCATGTTTTGGGGAAGAAGTGGTGTTCTCTCTTCAGATCCTTGGTGCACTTTTGGGGAAATCTAATCCTTAAGCGACAAACATTTCCTGTGTAAAAGAGTGAGTTTTTATTCGGTTCTTCGTGTACCACTTCTGATGTAACCAAATCAGCCACCACCTAGGAGATGTTGTCGTCCTTCTGCTCCCACGCTACCTGCTCCAAGTCAGTCATTTTAGAAAAACCCTTCCATGTTTTCTTGAAGGTCTCATTACTGATATCCTCATCTCGCTGGATGACAGATTCCTGTATTTCAGTAACTGGCTGCACGGAGACATCCGGCAGTACGATGTCACCAACACCCGCAAGCCCAGGCTGGTGGGACAGGTAAGGCCGCAGCAGGAACGCCGCTCTGCACCAGGGCAGCACAGCCTTCTCTTTGCTCCTTCCTTTTCCCAAAGGAGGAAATGTCTAACAGTGACTCTTGAGTGGGAATTGTCACCACACAGCTTTGACTTCCAGCCAGGCTTTTTCTTACACATTTCCTGGGTTCCAGGTGTTTCTGGGAGGCAGTATCACAAAAGGTGGCCGTGTGACAGTAGTGGAAGACCAGGAGCTGCAGTGTCAGCCAGAACCATTTGTGATCAAAGTAAGTTTCCTAACACACAGGTTGTTGTTTTTCATTACTCTGCTAATTCCCATCTGCTTGGAAATAGGCCTGCCTCAAAGCTGCAGTGCAGCACACAGAGCTGGGTCTGAGCTAGCCTGTGTCTTGACTTATAACTCGTCTTACAGGTGTCACACCTCAGTGCAGACGAGCTAAAATGTCCTTGTAAATGTTCTAGATCTGTGATTGGATTGTACGAACTCTTCAGTTGTACAAATCGGTGTCATTCTGCTGCTAACTAGCAAATTTCAAGCTGCTGCAGTGCACGCTCGTCACATTGGCATCGCCCAGACGTGTTTCAGTGAGCAGTAGTTGAAGCCCTAAATTATCTCATGTACAATAGATTTCGCACTGGCTCTTTGTGTCTGTGTGTGAACTTGCAGATAAAGAGTCCAATAGCACCTGGCATTGTGATAAAAAGAAATGAAAGAGCATTAATTGTTGCTGGCCATTATCACTGTGCATTAATATAATCACTTTCGAGGCAGCTGCCGTTGGGAAGTCTCACAGAACACCCAAGAGCTGAACGTAGCCATGAGCAGGATTCACTGGCCACCCAAGGCAGCTTCAGGAAGTTCCAGATGCTCCTTTTTTTCATAGTGTAGGTTGTTACCTGGTTGCGCTATGGATATATCCTTGTTTGCAGCAATTTTATGCCACACACCTCGTGCTTGATTTTTGACTCTTCCACCCAAGTACTACACCCTGATCCCTCCAGTCCTTATTTTCTGACATAACCAGTTCTGTGAATTAAACAGAATTCATCTGAATTGGCTTGGAAACTCTCTGCTAATAGGAGATAAGATTCCTAATACCTGTCCCCTTTCCAAGATAGGGTATTTGGGGCTCTTGTGTCAGGGATTCCAGAGAGCTGGAATCCTCGCCAGCAGCAGGACTGTCCCGCTGCTTTGGTTTTCCTCGCCCTTGCATTTCCTGTGTTTCACCTTGGAGCACCTTGTTCCCTGTTACAATTTTAGGGGAAGAAGGTCCAGGGTGGCCCTCAGATGCTTCAGCTGAGCCTGGATGGGAAGCGGCTGTACGTCAGCACCTCTCTCTACAGCGCCTGGGACAAGCAGTTCTACCCAGATCTCATCAAGTAAGAAAACGTCAGCTCTACAAACCCATACTCAGCCCTCACTGTTTGATATTATTAGCTGAAATCCTGCTATGTTTGAAGGTAGGTAAGAATAGGAAGAAACCATTGAGCTTGGTCTAGCTACCCAGAGTCCACAGTGCTCCCAAACTACCTTTGAGTGTGCCAGCATGACCGCTTATTTTTTGGAATTAAAGCAAGTCATCATCTTCCAGATTGCCACAGAGGTCAAAGTGCAGCTTGCCCATTACTTGATGAGTAACAACATCTATTAATTTTCATTCATTCGCTGCTAATTTGAGGTCACAGATTTCACATAGGTGCTATAACTCACTTTGGAGAGCTGCTAAGGCCTGCTTTGAATGTGGCCTTCATTTCCCTACTGTATTAAAAGAAGAGCAACCTTGCCTGTCTATGGAAGAGAAGAGCAACAAATATGAATTCTCCCAGTGCCTGTTTTCTTGTCCCTTTTTCAGGGAAGGCTCTGTTCTGCTGCAGATTGATGTGGATACTGAAAAAGGCGGATTGAAAGTAAATACCAACTTCCTGGTGGATTTTGGGAAGGAACCTGACGGGCCTGTCCTAGCTCACGAGATTCGTTACCCTGGCGGAGACTGTACCTCTGATATCTGGATGTAATTGTTTTATGGAGCTGTTTTCTTTGTGCTTTTCTCTCTTTTTTCCCTCTGTCTCTCTCCCCTTCCCTATAGGCTGCAGTTCAGCTGCAGTGTTGTCCACTATCTATATTTAGACTTCCCTTAGGGTGAGCAAGAGAAGCTCCAGTTTCTTCTGCTTCTCTCAGCAAGATGAGCGGGTCTTTCTGAACCAAGATCTAGATCTCATTTATTTCTCCACTGTGTCTCCTTTCATAAACTCTTGTATAATCACCACCGACTGCAGGTTTCTAGGCAGAGGTTGCCAGTCTTTTAAGGAGTGTTTGTCCAAGGATGGAGAAGCTGTTCCTAAATAACACCAGAAGGGTACATTGCATGGGCTTGTCCTGGAGCACGAGTGGCTTTTTCCTGCATACTTTAATTGCTGATAAAGTGATCGGTGCTTTACAATGCACGCAGCATAAAATTGGTGCACGTCTAATCCGAGGCCACAGGTTACCGTAGCTGGGTTACATTTTAACTCTTATGCAGTGATGCTATAAAAAATCAACAGTAAAATTGTTCTGCAATTCATATGGAGCCTCGCTTTTTTTTTT